GTCTGCCGTTCAGCGCTGGCAGGAGCGGTGAAATTAAAGAAGTGAAGAATAAAGAAAGTGTGTTTTTGTTTTCTCTCTCCAGACAGCTGAAGGCTAAATGGGAATCTGATCCAAGGAAAGGAATTTTCTTTCCTAGTTTTTAACTGGAAGCATTATCAGTGGAAACAACAAACCGTCCTCTGTTTATTATTTTTTGGCACGTGAGCGTGACGAATGTAGATCTGCCCTCAGTAGTGCGACTCCTCCTCTAAGAATAAGAAAGGAGAGCCGTGTTACTGTGACAGAGCTTCAACAGCAACAGTCCAGCTTTGTGTTGCAGCCACGACTGACAGAAGGGCTGGTTAGCGTCATGTGAACCTGGTGCTGGCGAGGGCAGCTGGTGCTGAGGCCAGACTGCGCTGAAGACTAATGAGGTGTTTATCTGAGAGGTGGGGAGGCTGAAGTGCCCTGGACTCTGAATCCCAGAGACACCGGAGAAGAGGGGAACTTGTCCCGGTCTGACTGCGACCGGCTCTTCACACAGATGATGTAATCTGTTGACGAACGCGTTTCTGTCGTTTCTTTCTCTGTTCGCAGGCAGTTGAGAGTTTTGATGGATGATTGATGGTGTTTGATTTATTCTTTAGGGCCGTTGCGGTGAAGGAATTCCCCCTGCTGTGATTTAGAGAGGCTCGACAGCGCGGTGTGAAGCATTGCTGCCACTTTTGTTATTTTTAAGTCACTTTGTAAGAAGCACAACACGATAATGTTTCATTTCAGCACCTGCGTCCCTCCTCCCGCCTCCCGGCCCTGTGACCCCGTTAACTGCCCACTTTCAGCCGAACAAAGTCACCAGTTCGTTAACAATCGGCTGGAAGTTGCCAGTTAACAAGGTCACTCATTAAACCGAACCACTGGTGAGCCGCGGGACGGAGAATTGGGATAATTAGTGGACCAGTTGGCGTTTTCCCACTAAAAAGGCTGCTGGTGTTTTCAGCTGAGAGCGAGCGAGTGTTGTAATCTCCGGCTGTGAATTGAAGGGAACTGCGTTTCAGACTCTGGGATGCCTTCCCGTCTTAAAATAACAAATGCTGAACGCGACGTGATGATGCAACACCGCGTATTATCATTTATTAGGAAGTATTGTTGTTGCAATTTCTAAAAAGAACAGTTTTTAACCTCAGTTCATTGAAAACCTCCTTCAGTGAGAGTTTAGTGTACAAAGACTCGTAAAAGCACAAGATTAAAAAGATAGTGTAATTTAAAAAGACTGCTTCTAAGCTGAAATAATTGTTTCTCATCACAGTTGGCAAGCCTCTCATTTTATTTAAGTACAGAGCGCTGTTTCTTCTTCTGTCCTTTGATATCAGTCAGGTTGTTCTGCATGATAATGTCACGTTAATGTCACACCGTGTTTGTGTCCGCTGATAATCTTCAGATAGTCTTCACCTTCCTGTTAATATCTCATAAATCAGTCCAGACATGTTGCAGCTGTCTGCCAGGTAATGAAGAATTTAGCCTCAGGTCACAAACGGATTAATACGGGATATTAAAACTCGTGAAATCACATTAATCACATTGCTGTGTTACCTGTTACTCTGATTTCAGGTGTTGATTGAACAAAACACACGAGTTCACAGTATCCAAGAGCTGTGGTGCACCTGCAGCTGTTTGTCTTTGTTTTCTAAAGCAGTCTGTCAGTGTGGAAGTCCTCTAGAAACGGGTGTTTGGTCTCGTGCAGTACGTCAGGAACAGGTTCGAGCGCTCACACGAGGGCTGTAGGTCATTTTTAACCCCCGGTGAGCCCAAAACAAAAGATCTGTGTTCTTGTATCAGGATTTATTCATAAGTTAAACCAGTTACAACAAAACGCCAGAAGAAATGTCGACCGGCACACAGTTAACAGACGTTAAAGGTGTCTAACTCACAGATGTGGACTGCAGCAGCTGGTTTCAGTGATCAGGTCCTTCACTGTACCAGCTGCTGTGATCTGAGTCACTGATTTATGTATTTGATTTGTATTAAACTGTGTAAGAAAACAAAGATGAAATAAATTGGAGTCGAGTTACACATAACTAACTTGTAGTATGACATTGGTTTGGAGAATCGTGTTTCTCTGGTGTATTACTACACTTCATTCATAAAAAAAGAAGGTGTGTTTTCTTGTTCGGAGCCAAAAAAAAGTACGTTTTGTCCTCGAGTCCGAACCTGCTGTCAGAAGTATTGTTGACGTGTCCTGTCGGCAGGAAGTGTGGCTCACTTTGGGTCTTACTCTGGAAAGAATATAAATATAAATATACTACAGTTAGTTGAGGCCTTTCCCCCCGACCCTCCGTGAACTCATCTCGTCTGATCTGCCCTCATCCACACACACACAGTCTGTTTTCTCTGTGTGCTCGACCCTCCGCAAATCTGTTCTTGAGGGGGGGAGAGAAAAAAAAAGGTTTGATAAAGATCCAGTGATGACACAAGATGGTGCTGTGTGTTCGGGTAGCGTCTCCTCTGTAGTCATCAAAGCAGCAGTGAAGTGGCCTTTTTGTTTGCTCCCTCGGAGGCTTGTTTCCGATACCCAGAGCAGATGGTATGTGTTTTCCATGGATGAATCACTGAGCCGGCTGGGTTTTCACGTAGCTGGCCTAGACTGTGTGAAGCTTGTATGCGTGTCCTGGCTTAGCTGTGAGAATACACCTGTGTCAGTGAGCTGTATGTGTGTGTATATATATATATATATATATAAAAGGCTTTGAATTCACCGGTTTCTTGTTTTCTTTCCCCCTCAGACTCTGGAGGAGCCCCCCTACTTGACAGTGGGGACGGATGTGAGCGCCAAGTACAGAGGGGCTTTCTGTGAGGCCAAGATTAAGACTGCCAAGAGGCTAGTCAAGGCCAAGGTAAGTCACATTTCAAAGTGCTCGCGATAAGACATTAAAAATGCATCGTCTGTCTGTGTTGGGCTCTCGTCGTCTTCGTGTGAACGGGCTGCAGTCGAGATCGCGCCGCTCGGCTTTAACGTACGTCCAGCAGCTACACTGGAGTTTAAGAGACGTCCCTTGTTGTTGATTCTGAGGAATGTGCTTTTGTCTCTCTCCAGCTGTGCCGAAACGAGCTGGAGCTGTACCACCTGGCTGAGGTTGTTAGCGCCGCTCATACAGTTGAAACGCGGATCAGGGGCCCTCAGCTGTGACCAGGGGCCCATCACGTCCTCGGGCGTCCCTCTCGCCCACGTTTTCGTGCCATTCCCCCCGTCGGTTTAATGCCTCGCTGATGAAGGTTTGCGTGATGCTCGTACTACAGTATCTCATTTCCCAGAGCGGCTGCAGCATCTGGATAATACAATAGAGACGGATCGCTTGTCTCCCGCTCTGCGAGACTGTGTGGGAGGAACAAAGATTGGATGCTGGGTTTTTTTTTTACTGTGTCAATGCACTGTAGTTCCCCTGTAGAGACAAAAGAGCAGCGATGTTCTGCCTTTCAGTCTTATGGACAGAGACGAATAACACGAGTAAGTTAAATATTGTGGACTAAGATGAAGCTGATGGGACGTTCTCAGCTCATAAATTAATTCCCGCTCTGATCGTCTGAGTGTTTGTTTCTGGGTTGCTATAATGTGAACGTGAGCTCTGTTACACAAACGCTGAAACGTGGCAGTTATCTGGTTGTTAATGAATCCCTCTTTAGCTCTTTGGTTCATTATTTCTGTCTGCTTGTTTAACAAAGAGTTTTAAAACCCCTCTTACTTATTATGACGATCGGGGATGTAACGATTACCGGCGTAACGGTAAACCACGATAACAGTTACCGTTTTCATTTCAAATATCTTTAT